TCCACCATGTAGTTGTTTTCCTTTTCTGCCCTCTTTTTTTCCTGGTGCTGAACTCTTCTTTCAATGCTCTGTACACACATGCTTTGAAGTGGCTCCATTCCTCTTCCATGTCTCCCAATTTTGGGGGAAATTTGTGAAATAAATCTTTCAAACGTTCATGTATCTTATCCTTGTTATTGTCATTTATATTTCTGAGATTTACGACTTCCCATCGTTTCTTTGCTTCTGGCCTTTTCCTGTTTGGTGTGTCAATAGTCATGATGACTGGTCTGTGGTCAGTGTCTGTGATGTAGATGGGAATCACTCTTGAGTCTCTGATTTTTCTCAGTTTCAATCTTTTGGCTAGGATAAAATCAATTTGTGATGCTATCTTTAGATCATTGCATTTGTACCAAGTTTTAACTTGACTCCTTTTGTGTTGGAAGAAGGTATTTGATATGACGAGCTCATGTTCTGCACACAACTGTAATAGCATTTCTCCATTGCTGTTTTGATCTGTTTCCCTGTCACTGTGTGGCCGCATGTATCTCTCCCACGTCGTCTTCCTTGTTTCCACTCTGCCGTTAAAGTCCCCCATCATTGTCACATTATCTTTGTCATCCACGATGTTTAAAAATTCACTCAGTTGATCATAGAACTGGTGTCGCTGTTCTTCGGGATATGAGCCATTGCATGTTGTGTGTGTGTGTGTATATATATATATATATATATATATATATATATATCTGTCTTTGATGACCCTCAGTAATTGTCATATGCTATGGTGATTTCCCGCTTTATACCATACTCGTTGAATTTTTTTCATATTCTTCAAGTCTGCGTTATGCTTGGGTTTAACGGCACTTGCAACACAAATAGGTCTTATAAGCCCCGAAGATTAGAGGTGTTACAAGAGAGTAACATACACAGAAAAGAACGAGGAGAGATAAGGACGGTTGATTGTTAATAAGGAAAAAAGGAACAAACCACACCCCAGAGCACCCGCCAATCTCCTGCTTGAGTTATGCATGTAAGATTGAAACTGCTTTCAATTTTAATCATTTTCCCCTATAGCAAGTTACAGAACTCTTTAAAACAAAATGAGTGATGTTTTTCTTTTGAAAATCGGACCATTATTATGGAAAGTGTGCCCGTATCTTTTTTGGGGATAATTGGCATTGGACTCCCGACGTCACGATTATGACGTAATTAAACGGTAAATAGAATTTTACGCTTAATGTACTTGACTTTTATTTTTATATATTGATTCTACATAAAACAGCAAACAAAATGATACCTCAATGGTCACGATACAACTGTTATTAAGGATTTTATGACTTTGTGAAGCAAAATTTCGAGTTTTGGTGGCACAAAATGCAGTGCAAAAATTTGGCCAAATCAGGGCGAAAATTGATTCACAAAAACGGTCGCTGCTTCTAAAATAACAAAGGTAGCGCAAAAATTTAAAAAGCTCTGAAAACAAAAAGCCAAGCTCTTTTCAATAATCCAAATTTTAATGCCTTCGGAGAAGTTTGAAGATTTCACTGAAGTGCCTAAATATTATTATGTCTTAGTAAGACCGTATCGTCAACAAGTAGATTCACACCAACGAGAACTGTACAGAAGATATAAGAGTTCCCATAGAGAAAGTAAGCCAGCCATAAACTAGACAGCTACTGTCGTGACCAAGTATATGCAGGGTACACTCAGCCAACGGTGGAAAAGATGTGCACTGTTTTGACAGGGACGTGACAGCCTATTTCCCCCCAACACTAATATTATTCTCATAAGGAAACAGTATCAGTGGTACGATCACCAAACTTGTTAGAAAACACAATTGGGCCTACCCTAAGCTTATTTCCCTTCGATGAAACAGAGAGACCATGAAATCATAAAGATGTCTTATAAACAGTGACTGCCCGCAAATGTGACCGGAATCAGATAACATCTCAATCGTGTT